GAAATTTGATTATGTTAGAACAAGAAAAAGTAGCTCGCGCGAGCTCATGTAACAGAAATGTTGAAAAACCATTGGTTTTGTGGGAGTCGGACAGCGCGCGCGGGATGAAATTTGGACATTTTTTTTTGAAAAACCATTGGGTTTTTGATGTTTTTATGTTGAAATCGCTACGAAACCTAAGGTTCTGGAAGGATTTCGTCTTGCGCGCGCGAATGTCCACTTTACCTTATTTTTTGCAAGGGATTATTGAAATTTGATTATGTTAGAACAAGAAAAAGTAGCTCGCGCGAGCTCATGTAACATAAATGTTGAAAAACCATTGGTTTTGTGGGATTCGGACAGCGCGCGCGGAAGGACATTTTGACAATTTTTTCTTAAAAAACCATTGGGTTTTTGATGTTTTTATGTTAAAATCGTTACGAAACCTAAGGTTTTGGAAGGATTTCGTCTTGCGCGCACGAATGTCCACTTTACCTTATTTTTTGCAAGGGATTCTTGCAATTTGATCAAGTAAGAACAAGAATTTTCATTTTATAGTGTTTTTTGCAAGGGAAAACGGCGTCAACAAAACAACCGGATCCGGACACAATCCACTTTTCTGAAGCTTTCGCGAAAAAATGATGAAAATGTAGCTGCGGCCTAGGCGCGGCGCAGAGGTCGCGCACCAGGGGTCCCAACAATAATTATTCTTAAGAAGAAATAATGTTCAACAACAACAACAACAGCAACAACAACAACAACAACAACAATAATTTTAAGACCGTTCGCCCTTACATGCTCGAGTGTCAACTAACGCGTATTTCCCAAACCCTCGATACCCGCCCTCTTCGTCTTCGATCGAACCCCTTTCGGGGGGTATACCTTTCTTCCCTGCAGGCCGGGCCCCGGCAAGCGGCGGGGCGGCCGCGGACCGTCGGCCTGGCCAGCGGCAGCGCTGATCGGCGGGGCGGCCGCGGACCGTCGACCCGACGCCAAGAGGGACGGACAGGGGACCGACCACGACGACGACGACGACGACGACGACGACGACGACGACGTCGAAGGCGACGGCGACGACGACGACGACGGCGAGAGAGAACGACAGCAGGGCCACGAAGGGCACGAAGTAGGCCACGAAGGGCGACAGCGGGGACACGAAGGTAATGCGTATGGGGCCACGAAGAGCGCGAACGAGCGGGGGCCACGAAGTGAAGATAACGCGGGGCCACCGAAGGCAACTATGGGACCACTGAGGGTAGCAACTGGGCCACGTAGGACAGTGAGGGGGACACAAATAGCGACAGCGGGGCCACGAAGGGTACGCACATGGGGCCACAACGGGCGCGAACGAGCGGAGGCCACGAAGGGCATACGTATGTTGGGCCGCGGAGGGTACGGACGGGGCCACTGAGGGCAGCAACGGGGACACGAAGGGCAGCGGGGGGGCCACGAAGGGCGACAGTGGGGCCACGAAGGGCACGCATATGGGGCCACCACGGGCGCGAACGAGCGGGGGCCACGAAGGGCATGCATATATGGGGCCACGAAACAAAGCGAGGGGGCCACGAAGGGCTGCAACGGGGCCACGAAGGGCTGCAACGGGGCCACGAAGGGCTGCAAGGGGGCCACGAAGGGCTGCAACGGGGCCACGAAGGGCAGCGAGGGGGCCACGAAGGGCTGCAACGGGGCCACGAAGGGCAGCGAGGGGCCACGAAGGGCTGCAACGGGGCCACGAAGGGCAGCAACGGGGCCACGAAGGGCAGCGAGGGGGCCACGAAGGGCTGCAACGGGGCCACGAAACAAAGCGAGGGGGCTACGAAGGGCTGCAACGGGGCCCCGAAGGGCGGCGAGATCCCGATGCCTAGGTAAACTGTGAAGGAGTCCTAAGCGTGAGCGCGACACTTGTGTGCCTGGGTGTCGGGAGCGCGGCGCCGGAGTAAGTTGCAAGAAATTCCTACGCAAGGGCGCTATTATTCAGTAAATTGCAAGCAAACCTCCAGCGAGAGCACGACTCCAGAGCGCAGGAGGAGCGATTCCTCAATCAATCGTAAGGAAGTCCCAAGCCAGAGCGCGATTCCTGAATAAAATGCGAAGAAGTCTTCGGGCGGGAGCGGGGGTCCTGGCTAAATTGTGAGGAAGTCTCAGGCGGGAGCCGTTGTTGTTGTAACCCAGGGGCCAGGGGGCCAGTTTGAGCAGGAAGACCTTCTTTCACAAAATACAAGGTGCGAGACCCGGGAGGGCACTTCAATTAAAAAACCAATGTGCACCGGTGAGGGGGGATCAACAATAATCGTTCTTTAAGAATGAGAGCTCAACAACGATAATTTTAAGACCGTTCGCCCATACATGCTCGAGTGTCAAATAACGCGTATCTCCCAAACCCTCGATACCCGCCCTCGTCGTCTTCGATCGAACCTCTTTCGGGGGGTATACCTTTCTTCCCTGCAGGCCGGGCCCCGGCAAGCGGCGGGGCGGCCGCGGACCGTCGGCCTGGCCAGCGGCAGCGCTGATCGGCGGGGCG